GAGCAGTTTATTTTCATAGGAGACTGAGTATTATAGTGCCCCGTAAGGCACACACGTGATTACGGATGTTTTAACATTTATTATTTAAAATACTATTATGGTATTTACTTGATTTGATAATCAATAGTCTTGATGTCTTATATTACTCTTATTAAGATTTAAGACATTGAATGCCACGGTGTTTATATATGATGTGCACGTGTAGGTTTCTGCAGGGATAACGGTAAAAAATTAGCGTTAAAGTCTTAAAGATATCATTTTCCCCAAGTGAGTAATATGGTTTTGACMAGGTATACAATTATTTAATAACCATTATAACTTTTGTAACCAAGAGTTACAACTATATAAAACTATAACTGCTTAAACTTAACTTATAATTAAAGTACAAGAAAAAATGGTGAATTTTATTTTACTCACCAGACTCATTCTGCGCTTCTTCAAATGTAACTGGTGAATCTAAACTCAAATTAAAAAGACCTTAGGTACCTATACCAATCTCCTATTTATATTTTTTTTTACCATCATTAGCTGATTTTTTTACGCCAACGTTAATATCTGAAGAAGCTTCGTCTAATGCGCCTTGTGCTAACATGGAAAATCTCCCAACACCATCAACGTGATGGTTATCCATTGTTTTTGGCGATCGAGGAAAATGTATGAAAAAAATAGATATTGGTTATAGAGATGGATTAAACTTACAAACGACAATTCCCATTGAACTCATCTACATTCAGCAATAAATAATAATTGATCATGCACTGCAGATAAATATAGTCTAAGAACAAGWTGTCCGTTAATTATAACAAAGAATTTTCCATAGACTCTCATAAAGTATATCATAAAATCCACGGATTGTCATAAAATGTAATACAATGTATAGGTACATTAATATTATATATTGAGTATCAACTTCATGGAGTTAATTATAAATTTTAGATGGGTTTAGATAGATACCAATAAAAACATTAAAAAATTAATCTTTTTGTGCCTAATTGTATAGAAATTCCAATGATATTCAATTTAAATATATTGTTACACCGTTATGAATGTTTTGAAAAATGAAAGACTGTTTAAAATCACCTTGGAGTAATAAATAAATAAAATCATGATCCCTTCCTCTTTATCGTCTGGGACTGACCAATGTGGAAATAATAATTTTTATAATAATCGCTTCGATGCCACATCGAAAATTTATTGACCACGTAAAAACATATTTAATTTTTGTCTCTTATTAAAATTTTCAAGGGCGGCACCGAAGTATATTCGTTCAGTTTTCAGTGTAAATGGTCTAACAACAGTCTAACACTCAGACTCAATTACTTAAACATAACAATAAGGTAATCCCCCTATAAACACAAAATAGATTAAATTAAAAAATCCGTTAATTAAATAAATAGAGTAAATTGACCTATTATTGTGATGGTAAAAACATCATCTATTTGTATGTGGGTTTTTTACAATAACTTAGTTTTTAAGTGAATTATGAGCATTTTTAATTCACGCTTTTYATATACGCATAATAACTTGCTACAGAATTAAACTATCGTAAAAAATGCACATACAAATACAGATAATGTTCTTAACATCAAATTTCATACTAGGCCACTTATTACTCTAATTTTTATACTAATGGAATTAAACGTGATCTGCTAAGCGTAAATTGCTATGTTACGCACTTTGTAAGACGGAGACAACAAAATAATGGATGCGTAGCGTCCTATTAACTCAAAGTTAAAGGGACCGCGGACAACGGGACAAAAGTTCTAGTTATCCAAATAAGAGTATTATATGAGTAGGTATACGCAAATCGGAATATGTGTTGTATACTATATATATATAGTTAATGTGTATTAAACTATTGTGTATAAAAATACATATGCACTACAAATCACAAGCAATAACAATGATAAATAATAGTTTTAATGTATTAGCTAAAGTTCAAACTATCCAAATGTCCAAAATAAATGGTTGTCACTATGTCACTTGTCGATAACATCATCTTAAAATAATTCGATTAATTTTTACCTAATTAATCTACCAAGTTAGAAAATTTAGGAAATCAACCTGAGACAATATAAGGCCCCAAAGGCCCAAATACAACCTTATGGTTTTGAGGTCCCGGTGCAATACACGCCCTGCACCCCCGCTAAATTCGGCCACTGGCCATGACCAAACATATTTTGAAAATTTAGGATAGGGCCGCTTCTTATTAACCACTTTTCTCTCCACAGTAGGTACCTACGCCATTTTTTCCGATATCAAGATAT